TCCGTTTCAGCAGATGCAGCAATGCAGTGGCAGCGGCATCCGTGCACGCACACAACATCCTTTGATTTGACGGGATCCCCATTGATTGATTGATGCGGAGTACGTGATACCGCAGATAAAGATGCAGACAAACCACAAATTTTCGACTGCAATCACCACACTACAACCTTCCCCACACTATATCCTCTTCTTGGAGGAGTCCGCTCAATGACTTTGGAGGTCTTCCTCCGCCCTCGTTTCGGCATCACTTTGTTTCCCGACTACGCTAAGGTTTGCCTTAAAAGGTTAAAACAAGACCGAAGGTTCATCTTGCGTTGACCTCAAGGTGTTCACCTCAATGGTGGACTATCTTGCATCGACCTTAAGGTTAACCTCACCAGAGTACATGACCAAAGAGTTGCTGGTGGAGGCAATCTACATCTTTTCCCTTTAGAAATACTGTTCACCTTGCGTTGACTTCGGCAGAATCAGCACACAACTACGGTATGGAGTTGCATGCTCTGCCGGTACTACTTCCCCCGAAGGCGCTGTGTTCCGCACACAACTACGGTAGGAGTTGTGTGCTCTGCCGGTACTACCTCCCAGAGGCACTGTGTTCCTTTCTCCTTTCCCCTCTGCCAGCACGCCCACACCGACCAATCGTAAGTGTACATGCAGAGCAGAAATGACGAGATCAAGATATGGAAAAGAGAACCAGTGACGAAGTTAAAACAAGGGTAAATTTCAAAAATATTGCTGTTTCGAGTCGTCCGTTCGAAGTTTCCTTTGCAAAAATAGAGGTTTCGTTGCAGCTTTATCAGGTTCCCGTCCTTCAGGACATCCGTTAAAATTGAAACAATACAGAGAAAGAAGATTAGCATGGCCCCTGCGCTTTCAAGGATGACACGCATAAATCGAGAAATTATCACGTTCCCGTAGTTTGCCAGCCAAAATATCGGGTTTCGCCAAGTTTCACAGCAAAAGGACCTCTAGGCCCCTAGCCTCAGGGACTCAGGGACTCAGCGTTTCGGCCTCAGGCACTCAGTTTTTTCCTTTTTTCTTTTTTTTTTTCTTTTTTTTTCCGCGGGCGTGGCCAAGGCATCTCGGCCGTGGCCACGTTTCTTGTTTTTTTTTTCGCAGCCGTGGCCGAGGCATCTCGGCCCTGGGCACGCCCAGATGTGTCGGCCATGCCCGGAAAAAAAAAAAAAAAAAAAAAAAACGCTGTGCCTCAGGGCAGAACGCTGAGTCCCTGAGGCCCTGAGGCCAGAGGCCTAGGGGTCCTTTGCTGTGAAACTGGGCAAAACGCGGTATTTTTGCTGGCAAACTATGGGAACCCAATAAAGCTGCAACGAAACATCTATTTTTGCAAAGGAAACTTCGAACGGACGACATTTTTGCTGCCAAACTTCGAAACAGCAATATTCTTGCTATTAACCCAATAATAAAATTGTAGAAAAGCCTATCAGCAAAGGAGTGACTGCCATGTAAAACAAAAACAACAAAAATGCTGTAACAACGGTATTAAAATTAAGTAGTCTTTTTGCAAAATAGTTTGAAGAAAAGTCTCATTACACGATACGAAAGTAATCGACTATTTGACGTTTATTCTTTCCCGCTGCCAAGTTGCCAACCACACCCCATCGACTGACCGCGGAAACGCTCAAGAACATAATGGAAGCTCGTTCTGTCCCCCCACCCCCCTCCTATCCAAACTCCTGCCGACTGACGAGGGAAAGACTCGAGAACAAATATTTAGGCCCGCACGCTAAGTCCACACGAGGGGCCTGCCTCTGCTGATACCAGGACGTTCGTCAACGGATTGCGACTCCATTCACATGGTCCTCCACAGAATGATGATATGAAAAAACGGTACACCTGGAATGAGACCGTGTTCCCTACAAAGACAATGCTAACTTGGCAGAATCACGGTAGGATCACACGTAAACATTAGTACATAATACTAATACTCGACATTCTAATCATGCTCACAATGCTCATGATGGATGCCAAGATAGATGGTACTCAATATACTCAAGATTGTACTCACCTCACTCAAGATTGTACTCACCTTACTCAAGATCGTGCTTAGGATACTCAGGTATGATGCTCAAGATCGTACTCGACATAAGATCGTACTCGACATATTCACGGCATTGACAGGACTCTCGGTGATCCGCGTAACGTCCATAACAGCGTACCATGCGGAAGAAAAGACGGCTGAACAACGTTTAAGACTGAGAGGAAGATCTACGAGGGTCCGGCCTGAGAGAGAGATGTCATCAAGAAAATTGCTGGATGCGAGAGAGAGAGAGAGAGAGAGAGAGAGAGGGGCGGGGGGGGGGGGGGGGGGGGGGGGGTCCAAGATAGCACGTAACTGAGGAACAGTCCAGAATATCGACCTTAAATCAAGAACTGGGAATTCCCAGCACCAGCGGAAAACGAGCAGCCGAATAGACGAATCGTCCTACTTCTGACTTATCAACTACTATCTCATCTGCTGGGAAATTTCGGCAAAGACTTGAGCTGACATAAAGAGAAGGACTGAAATGCGGAGAGCTGACGTAAAGAGGACTGAAATGCGGAAGAAAGACTCCAAGATACGGACGAAGAGTTCAATCCCGTAGAAACCAAGAAGGCTGTCCACGCCGACTCGACGGGTCAAAAAGAAGGGCAAGAGCTATGACAACGTCCTAGCCTCTCCTATTTTCCGCCGCATGGAGCGCCCGCCCCACGGGCCACGGGTAATCCGTTCGGTCATTACTTCAAAGTGAAGTCAAAGATAAGGGCACGAGAAACTGACAACCAGTACCACTTCTTCGATCACTGGGAAGAAGCTACCGTCTTCCCCCGAACATAACGCACCCTGAAATTGAACGTATACAAGCTATATTTCCGGTCTGGTACAGCCAAATTGAGGGTGCGTTGTGTTCGGGGGAAGACGGTAGCTATCTGCTGAAATCTCAACCGAGTGACAGGTTCAAATCTGTCTTTCTAAAACTTCCGAGAACATATTCTCCTCATGCCTGAACGTAACGTAAAAACTCGCCGTGGTCCATCCTAGAGTCGGGATGGCGGGACCTATAGCCCTTGCCTCTACCTTCTTCCGCCGAATACAACGTACGGTCATTCTACCTGTATCTAGACTGAAAGATGCGTCAAATACAGCTATAATGACCGTACGTTGTATTCGGGGGAAGAAGGTAGCCCCTCACGTTCTTTCGCTTCTCGAAGCCGATCCTCAGACTTGAACCTCTCCTCACAGGGGCTGCCGCCCAGGCTAAACACGAGCCACCGGTAGCTGGTCTCCGCCTTTAGGTCAGACTGTCAGCGCTTACTTGAGATCTCCTCGCCTCTCCGATAAAGAGGGTATTCACTCAAGGACGACAATACGGACCAATGCTCGCCCTGACCAGCCCGCGGCAACCTGGCGGGCTGGTCAAACCCCTCCACTCCGTGAACTCAACATATATTCTCAACCAACGGGCCTAGCTCAGATGATACACCCATGAACTGTTGAAATATGAATCAGATCCAATTTCGAATCCAGGTGCAGTAAGATTAATAAAACAACATACTTCAGAATTGCCTAGGGCCGGTCAATTCAATGAGGATATCTCAAGGCCGACGGCCCGACGCCCTTTAAACAAAAAAAAGAAAGAGGAGGGGGGGGGGGGGGGGGGAGGAAGACGTTCTCGGTGATCAACATACCTTGACCATTAAAATATGATAGAAGCGTGGATACGTAAGATAAGGGCCTCGTTCCACACCACTTGAGTTCAAGAGCGAAGCGAAAAATCATCGTTCCACACCCCCCTTAGAGCCCGCTTTGTTTTCACTTTTTGGGGTCCCAACTTCTCCCAAGGGTGCGCCCTTGAAACTTCCAAGGGCGACACAGCCAAAATCGCCCTGGAATTCAAGTGACTGTCACCTCCCGGAGGGCCGGAGGTACCTTGAGTTCAAGTGCCAGCGGATAACGCCAGCGCTCCGAGTGGGGGCCTTTTTTTTTTCCGTTTTTCTATTTTTCCAGCAGGCGATCCTGGTCCTGGAGTGGTCAAGCCGTGGAGTTCGGTTTCAAGTGCAGCATGTTCAAGGGTTCCCCCCTCAAGTGATGGAACCATAAATCGAGTAAGCGTTAATTAATCGCAATTACTCGTTTAGTGTGCACCTGAAACTCACAAGTATTTTCAACTGGTGTGCAACGAGGCTCTAATCCCCGATTGGTCTACCGAAATTCCAAGAGGCGTGCCAGCACAGACAGTGAGTGACCTTAGACTTCAGCAGAAACACTACATCACGATGTCAGATCCAGCAAAGACAAGTCAGACCAAGAAACCAAGGACAAAGAGAGCTAAACAGATGAAAACTAATTCACGATGTATGTCACATCGAAGCAAAAAGACAAGAAGTCATTTTGCAAGGAAAGTGGGACCCCGCCTGCAAATATTTTTGCTGCGAAACTACCGGCACCTTTAAAGCTACAACGAAACATATATTTTTGCAACGAAACTCAGGCTCCGCCAATATTTTTGCTGTGAAACTACCCCGATGCGCTTTTTTTGTTGAAACCTACCCTTTCAAGAAAACCAAGGAAAGAGGGCGGGAAAAAAGAAAAAAAAAAGAAAAAAAAAAGAAAAAAAAAGGAAAGAGGGCGAAACAGAAGAACCGCGCGCTGAAATAAAATTCCAATTTCAAACACTCAAAGAAACGTGGGAAGAGGCCAGCATGTTTATATTCTCCGCAGTCAGAGCTGAAAGCCATGAGAAAATCAAGCAAGAAGGAAAAGACCAAGCCCAGATGAAACAAACATAGAAAATCGATTGTTATCATTTACCCATTCCCAAAAGAAAACGACAACTCGAGACGCAAGAAACATATGTAGGAGCCACTCTCGCAACGCACCAAAACCACGTCAGCACGCCAAAACAACAAACGTCAATTATATAGAGCAGCTCGCAAAAACATCAAAGGAAGAACCGCCCAAAAGTATTCCAAACGTCACTCTGTCTGTCCCCAAGTGTCCTTCACGTCACGCAATCGGACTCAGGTAAGTCATCATCTATTTCAGAAGAAGTGTTAGCGAACAACTAAGAGTGCTAAAATGAACAACCACAGTGCTTAAACTCCAGTGAGGGTAAATACACCTCCATGAAAACTGACGAATTTCCTATCACCAAGAAAGCGAAGCATATCCTTCAGCCTTTCGCCATTACCCACACCTCTCCCACCCTTACCATCTCGACTTGGCACACCTTCGCTCCGTAGACCAAGTGCAATCCGACAGATACCAAGTCCGGTGCCGACAACAGATGATGATACCGTTACTTACCCCAACAGCACAGCAAATAGCAGATCAATATCGTAATTACCATCTCAAACAGTTACTGGTCAAGCACTCGCGCCGAGGGAGGAGGGAGGAGGGAGGAGGGAGGAGGGAGGAGGGAGGAGAGAGGATTCCGAGAGGTCAGCGCCCCAGACGAACGACGTCGTCTCAACCTTGAGGAGAAGGCATAGCATGAATTGCCAGCATCAAACTAGCGAGAGGGCATCAGGCCTTATAACGAACGCAGATCGCTCACAGCTCCTGAGCCTCGCTGCTCCCGCAGAACAGCATCTCAAGAAATCCACAACTTCTACTAAACCTACACCTCCATGACAGAAAAAACCCCCACAACCGTAGCAGACCGGAAAACAGCGATACAGGAAAATGACGACAGTGCCAATTTCACGGGGAAGCACTGAAGGCTGAGCGATTGCAACATCGAGCGGAGAGAACAAGAAGAAGAGGGCGACAATGTCGAAGCAAAAAGGACCGCGCAGGCGCGAAGCGTACGGTCGTGAGTGAAGACTTGTGAAAATGACACAGCAAGAAGGGTCAACGAACAAGAAAAAGAGGGCGACAAAGTGGGAAGCAAGAAGGACAGTTTCAGGCCTGCCAAAAGGGATCCCAACTGCTCCCATAAGTTAAGGGTCACAGAAAAACAGGGCAAGATGAATGATCGTGAATGGCAAGAAGGGAATTCATGCAGGTCCCCCACCTGTGATATTGCTGCAGACTTCGTGTGAGGGTGACAGGTCGGACGTGCGGAGGGATAGTGATGAGTGCCGCCTTGCCGCGCAAGCCAGAAACGACAGCCGATGGCTTCATCGACTGCTCGCCAGTCCGAGCTAAAAACACACGGAGGCAAACATGCGATCACACCGACCCAACGCCAAGGCCGAATAGACAAGCAGAAAGAACGACTGAGCAACAAGCAGACAGGCGCAAGAAGAGTCAAAATGGGCACGGAAAGAACGAGAACATTGTGCGAGAAGGCAAGAAGAGAGGGGTACAGTCTGCTGCATATAAAAGGCTAGCATTCTTTTAAAATTAGCACGTTAAAGCTCGGCGCGCTTGGAGGCGGAGGCGCAATTATCACGAATGCCCAACGGGCAGAACAAAAATTGACTGAAGCCAGAAAGGAGCAGGCTGCAGCTGCGACAGCAGCAGAGCAGCTGTGAAACCGATACTTCACTTACCCTACTACCGGTAGGTAATCCAGAGGGAGACAAAAGTTTATTAGCATCATATCGAAAGAAGACAGACTGCAGGGAGGGAAGAAGGCACGGGAGCGCATGCTACGACGACTAGCACAAGTGCACACGGCGGAGCTTGGATTACAACATGTTGGTCTGACTACTACTCTGAGGCGCTAACCCGTGAGGGAAACAAGAAGAAGACCGACTGCAAGATGAAGGATGACAAGCAGGAAAGACGACAGCCGAAAGTGATATAGAGAACATGCCATGGAGGAAGGTGCGGCGGGCGCAGACGCCGAGGGCAATTCTTCAGCTGGCTGCGTTTCCTCCGATACGCTTGTTTCAGACTCTCCCGCGTTGACGAGCGCGAAGTCCGGTTCTGCGGTCGTCATCTGAGGGGTCTTGGTCTCCGCCGGCAGAGTCTCAGAGCTGGGGGCGTTCGACGTGTCCGTAGCGAGGAGCCCCCTCCTCTCCTCCTGACAGATGGCATCGATCAGAGCCACGCTGTAGCTGCGTCGCTCTAGCTCCGCCAGCAGGACGTCGACACACATGACGCTCAGGTTGACGTCATCGATGAAAGGCTCAACGACGCTCTCAAACGTCTTGCAGCAAAGCTCGTTGAACGCCCCTCGGCAAGCACGTGCGAGGGTAGAGTAATCGATCGATGCGATCTTGTCAGCGCATTCCCGAGCCACGGACTCGGACCTTCCCTCGTTGCCTGTCTCTCTCACCCAAGTGCGCGTCGCCCAAGCAAAGCTGCCGGCACTCAGAACAAGCAACAGGAGCAGCACACGACGCCAACAGCGGAGTTCCATCTCCACGTCCACCTGTGGCCCGACAAACAACCAGAAAGAGGCGCCAACAGGGAAGCTCCAGGAAGCGGCAATAGGAACCAACAAGGTCGTCGGGCACGAAGAGGAACAAGAGAGACAGGGAAGATGGGCACAGGTCTTCTTATTCAACAGTGTATCCTTGTCACGGACGAGAGAGTCAGCGCCAAGAACTGCGAAAATGTGTCCTTTGGCGGGTAAGCCACACTTCTCCTCGTCGCTATCGGTAGCCGTGAAACCGGGTTGGTCACCGAGCTCACCGCTTTCGTCAACCTCCCGCCTCCCGCCACTGTGCACCTCTCTCCCCCTCCTCGCGCGCTTCAGACCATTCAATCGAAGGCGCAACCCTTCCGCCGAGCGCACCCTCCGTTCACTTGCTAGCCGCCGCGCACTCAACTAATGACTCGCTCCTGACCACCGTCGCATAACGCCACGGTCGGTAGTTGGATAGCCAAGCGAGGTTCAAACGCGCGGGTGCCGTTTGAGTCCCGAGCGCGGGCGACGAGAAAGGCGGCCGCCGAAAACTGATGGGAAGACCGCGGAAAAAGAGGGAAGACCGCGGCCCGCTCGACCTGCCCGGCGTCGGCCAGTTGTAGTTTGATCACATCGGGGAAAACTCCCGGCGGAAGACCACACAGCCGAACCAAGCGCGCGCGGGGGAGCGGTGAGGCGGCCGCGGAAGTCAGCTTGCTTCCGTCGGAGGACCGCACAGCCGCACCAAGCGTGCGCCGGGGAGCGGCAGGGCGGCAGCGGCGGGAGTCAGCTTGCTGGGATAAAACTGGGCGGCAAGAGATCATCTCGGATGAAAAAACTGGGCGGCAAAAGAAACACAAAAAAAAGAAAAAAGAAAAACAAACTCGGCGGCAAGACCCTGGGGGAGTCAAGTCTCCAGCAGCGCTGCGCCGGGGGGCGCGGGCCGACTTCTCGAACGTCCCAACAGTCCAAATTCAAAACTTCTTTTTCAAACCGCGCTACGGCCTTGACATCTCATAGCCGAACTCTCCCAAGCTAACTCAGAAATATTTCGTTTCATACATCCAGTTACACAGGATTCGAGCTCAGGTTCTGTATTCCAATAGTCTATGGGTGTGCCATGACACGTCATAAATTCAAAAGTTCCGCACCGCCCGCGTAGTCATTTCTGTTGCCTTCCGTCGTTTTCAACGGACGTTCTAGGCGGTCGGCTGTTTCGGACGGACGTCGGACGAGTAACCGGAAAGTAGGCAAAGGGAGGTGGTGCCTACCATATGGGTCTCGCGCCACCACTCTCCACTCTCCGAAAATTGGAGAGTATGGGTCTCGCTCCACTACTCTAGAAACCGGCCATTTCTTGAGCCCGGCACCGCTCCACTTACTCTAGACGCCAGGTCTGGAATTCGGGTTCTTGAGCTGTCGGTATCTACGTACGAAAATGGCGAGAATTCGGGTCTCGCTGCACTATATACTCGTGAAACTTTTCACTAGAGCTGTCAGACTCCAGAAAAGTCCCTAAACCCGCGCATCCCCGCATGTGCTCTAGACTCTTGAACTTCTAGAGTAGCACTATGGGATACGACAATTTTTCATGGGCTTCGACGAGTTCAGAAGCTTCACTACCAGAGAGGGCCAGCCTGGGTTGTCCGCCCAGACTCAAGGTGCGCTCAAGGAATTTCCGGGCGTTCTGTCGGTCCTTAGGAGCTCCCTAAAAAAAATGGTCCTTGCAGGCTGGTACTCAAGAACAGCCTAGAGCGAAACTCACGGCCCCCTTCTGACAGCTCATGAAATCGGGTAGATCAAAATTCTAGAGCAGGTGCAGCGACCACAACTCTTGCGGATTTCTTGAGCTGTTTCTGACAGCTCGATAACGTTTTCAAGAGCGCCCATTTCTTGAGTAGGTGCGGCGGTGCTGCACTCTTGGTTTTGCACGAGTATAGTGTAGTGCAGCAAGACCCTTCGTTGTCGCTCACTACCTCATGAAACGCACTCACGAAAATGCTTTCTTGAGTTACCAGAACCTCCTCTCCTGTGGCACTCTTGAAGACTCGAGAGCTCCGGCCTGCAGCGGTGGGAATTTCAAGGGAGCCATCCAGGACCTTTGAAAGTTAAGCATTTTTATGGAGTGCACCTGGAGTCTGGGCGGACAACAACGTGCTGGCCGTGTTGTGTAGCTCTCTCAAAGAGCGGTCTGACATCCGAGAGGCCTTCTTGAGTTTGACCTTCTAGAGTAAGTGGAGCGATGTTCTCTTTTTCAGCCATTTCTAGAGTCTGACAGCTCTAGACTCAGGGTCTCGCTCCACTACTCTAGACTCTCGAAGATTTTCGAGAGTGAGTCTAGAGCTGTCAGACTCTAGAAATGACTGAAAAAGAGAACATCGCTCCACTTACTCTAGAAGGTCAAACTCAAGAAGGCCTCTCGGATGTCAGACCGCTCTTTGAGAGAGCTACACAACACGGCCAGCACCTTGTTGTCCGCCCAGACTCCAGGTGCACTCCATAAAAATGCTCAACTTTCGAAGGTCCTGGATGCCTCCCGTGAAATTCCCGCCGCTGCAGGCCGGAGCTCTCGAATCTTCAAGAGTGCCACGGGAGAGGAGGTTCTGACAACTCAAGAAATGCATTTTCGTGAGTGCGTTTCATAAGGTAGTGGAGCAACGACGAATCCTCGCCATTTTCGTGAGTAGATACTGACAGCTCAAGAACCCGAATTCCAGACCTGGCGTCTAGAGTAAGTGGAGCGGTGCCGGGCTCAAGAAATGGCCGGTTTCTAGAGTAGTGGAGCGAGACCCTCACTCTCAAAAATCTTCGAGAGTCTAGAGTAGTGGAGCCGACCCTCCTTACAAACACAATTTTTAGGAATGTCGCGTCGTTAGCTATGTTGTCAGGGTTACGAGGGTAACCCGGTCGACTCAGGCAGACGTTCAAGAGGGGTGGCCCGCCAAGGGTACCCGGGAGACCCCAAAAATGGGGTCTTTTTTTTTTTTTTTTTTCGAAAGTGGGGCAGTTTTGCTACCACGGAGATGGGCCCAAATCCGTTCTTACCTTTGAATTTGGTGATATCCCACCAAAGGGTGTCTACAGGGTATAAGCGGTGTTCGAAACGATACCAGCTATCAGCCGCAGGCCTTCAGCCGTGCCGAAAATCCAACTCGTCGCCTACAAAAGTTTCGCGGGTTCGGCCTACCGGACTGCAATGGCTGTCGGTGCCAGCCAGAAACGAACAAGAGCGCGCCGCTGGCGGTTCAGAAAATCTTGGCACGCAGTAAGGCGCCTCCAGGCCTGGGTGTACTGGTCGTTGCTAGGTCGACCAAGGGAAGGCCCGGTCGTTGCTGAATGGTCGGCCTCCGTGCTTCCAGGCATGACACACACGGGAAAAACAAACGAATCACAAAATTTAAATGTCAAAAGCGAAAGGGAAAAAAAAAGGGTCAAAAACAAAAACACGCGCGGGAGGGAGGGAGGGAGAGAAAGAGAGACAGAGACAGAGAGAGAGCTAAGAAAAGGGAATCCATCTTCTGGAGAAAGCGGGAAGATTCATTCCCGTTTTCAACTTTGGAAGAGAGAGAGAGAGAGAGAGAGAGAGAGAGAGCGAGAATAAGAGAATAAGAGAGAAAAGAGAGAGAGAGAGAGAATATGAGAATAAGAGAATACACTCTAGGTAGTGACGCACATCACTCTGGTGTGCACGACGGATTCCACTCCCGAGTTATCCCTGTATTCACCCGCTCATTCACAAATCAACATGTAAGCACCATGCGCATTTCCCCAACGCGTTTCGCTGCCTGCGCACGAAGGGAGACTCTTCAGGGGCCCTTCCTCCCTCCCATCTCAACACACTTGACATCTGATGTTGAGACCTCTGCCCGATATCGTTATATATTTCAATTATCCCTACTTCCACTACTTGTTCTTATCTCGCGTACTAAGGGCCTCGTTAGACACTCCTTGTGGGACCCGAAATCCACAAGGAAGTGCTCGTTCCACCTGTGCTCGAGGACGATTCGCAAAAAAAAAAGTGAAAACAGCACAAGGAAATTTCCTTGTGCGAGGAAATTTCCTTGTGGCGTCCTTGTGGCTACAACTATTTTTTCCTAATCCCCACGGGACCTCCCGAGGTCCCTCAGAGCACAAGGAAGCGCGAAATTCGGAGCGGCGAAGGCATGCGTCGACGCACAGTTTCGGTTTGAGGGTGGTCCAGACGTGGTCCACCGAACTGGAGCACGGACATCCCTGCCCTCCACCGTCTGGGCGGCACCCCAAGGGCTCCAGACGGTCACCATCACCGTGAGGCCTCCGTCCAACGAATCGGCCGGCATCGACCGGTGTCATGTGGTCTGCCGCATTGGGCGATCGTCGATAACGGTCGGAAATTCGAATGCTTTTCCGCGTCGGCGCTGTATTCGACGACGACAGGTGGATTTTGGAAGATCGTCATTTTCGTTGGTTGTCGTCACGCCTTGCACGTCGGAGCACAGATCTTCCCTCACTTTTTCTTCTGTCGACGGAGTTCTTCGCTGGACAGTCGACCACTAACTTGGAGTTGTTGCCCTTTCCACGACCCTTACATGGCCGACCTACTGCACAGGCTGCCTCTGCTACTCCTCATCGTCGTGCTGCTTCTCATCGTTGTCTTCTTCCACGTGTGTTTCGTTGGCCTGCTCCCTGTCGCGGCTCGCAAAAGGAGATCTTCCAAGAACGGCAACAGGATGGATCGACGACTGACCAACGGCAAACCGGCAGGCAGGACAGTAGGAGCGAGCAATCGCCAACGCACTGCGGGGTCTATGGCCAAGCAAGCGTACGACTCGACGTTGTATGCTCACCTGCCTTCGTATGAGATTCCTCTGCTTCGCTCGAAGAATCACTCTGCAACCCAACGCGTAGCACAGCTGAACAACAACTTCCTAGGTCGCCACGTAGTCGGGGCCATCGTCTGGAGCTTGCATCAATATCCTCGGTCTTCGCGCGCGCAACTGCTCCTTTAGTCGTCCCAGCGCCCTCTCCTGATGACATCGAAGAACAACGGTAGACACGGTCGCCACCACGGTCTGCAGCTCAAGAGGCGTCAACACCGCACTTCCACCCTTTCCGCCGCCCTCCATAACCGCAATCTGGACACAGACCAATCGCTTCGTTGTCGTGTGTGTCGTCCTTCCACACCCAACGAAAAAGCCAAAGACGCCTGTCGAAAGTTGGCCCTTTTTCTCTGGATGCAGTCCCATAGACGGAAATGTGTTTGAAGGCGCAGTCGACGTGTGCGAAGGTCGACGACGATGGACGCACCCAACGATGCCTGCGCACTCGCAACGGCCGGGGGACGGAAGTGACGCCGCCGCTGAGCCCGTTTCAGCAGTACGCCGCCATTCGAAACTCGAATTTCAAACGTCGATGCCCCCGGGTTAAATTTT